ACTCTGTAGTCACTGGAACAACGTCTCTTTGGCCAGGATGCCCCTGTAGTCATCTCAGCGGTATCTCTCCATGATCAAGGAGGACATCTGGGATAGGATGAGACCCTCTAACTGATGGAACACTGTTTCTATGATTGGGATGCCACTCTAGCCATTCCCCAGGTACATCTCCATGATCTGGGAGAACTTTGGGATTGGAGGTGACTCCCTAACCATGGGAGTTAAGAAACTACTGTAATACTTGAGCAAAATGACACTTTTAGCGTTTGCTGAATCGCTGAGTAGACATCCCCATTTGAGCTTTCACCGCAATCATTGCAATGTTCGTTTATAAGCTGCTTGGTTCTTTTGTAAAGATGTATAGCTCTGGGTGGTGGATTACTCCAAGGTCACTACTGCCTTTATGGTCTGTCCATTCACAGTAACTGGTAAAGTGTCAGGCTTTGCAGCTAGAGAAGAACTGCACGAACATGTTACCGCTCTCTCTGTCACGCCAGAATTTCAACGGCTGGGTTTGACTGCGAAATCGATGGAACTACTGGAAGAAATTTCAGAAAAGTGAGTACTGTCTTATCTTTAAATTCCTTTTTTAGATTAATCTTTCTACAGACACCTGTCCCTGGCTTAGATATTTGATTTGAAACAGACCCAGAATTTTGCTTTAGGCAGTGTTCCGATTTGCTGAAATTCCTCGTAGTTAGAGAAGAAGAATTATGAATGTTGCTTGGCCATTTAAGATCTCAGCATTTCCATGACAGCTAACTTGCCAGAATGAATAGGAAGAAACCTGCATTCCAATAGAGACACTGTATAAAAGGTCATTTTCTTGACAGAAAAAGAGCTTTGCAAAACGTCGGGGTTGTTTCCCGTAGTGACTTCACCATACTTGTTAGGTAATTGTAGGGTTTGTGTGATTCTGGCAGGCACAATCTCGAACAAATTTTGTACGGCAGACAGTATCTTAGCTTACTTTCCCTCTCATGCTTGGTTGTTTGTGCCTCCTGAAACTTTAATTTAGCATCAAATGAACCCACAGCAAAATGTCCTCAACTCATGTTCGTAGGGAAACCCCATCATAGTTAGTAAAACTGGACAATAGTACAACGTTTTGAGAAATTTGCCTTGGGAGGCGAAGGGCTGTCTCCTGTTAGGCAATGGAATTTTGTGACTGATTCCACCGCTTACCCCGCCACGCACTTTAAAAGAGGCAGTCCCTAAGCCAACCCAGTGTAAACTGTGGATTTTTGTTTGTTTTAAATAATTTCTTATGGAGATGAGGCTTCCATGTCCGTTTAGCTTGTCCTGTTCTTTCTGTTGATAATTCCGAACCCACTGGCTGCTGTAGAAGAACAGTCACGTGACAAAAATAAAATTATGTTTGTGCTTATACTTGATTTGCCGCTTGGAAAAAGAGCGCATTCGTTATTATGGTGTACAAGGCATTTGATTAGCATAGCACATTGTCAGACCTGCTCTTGGTGTGATTACAAGCTGTGGGTTATTATTTAGAAATACATTCATCTGCTCTTCCTCACTGTGGTTTTTTGGGCTTTATTTTTTCAAAGAAAGGGTGGGTTTTTCATCGATCTCTTTGCGAAAGTATCAAATCAGGTTGCGGTAAATACGTATCAGCAACTAGGCTACAGCGCGTACCAGACAGTATTAGAGTACCAGTCCGCTAGCAGCGGAGAGCCAGGCAAAGGTGCTTACGGTAAGTACTTGTTTTGCCCCAGGCAGAATGGAAAGATTCTCACGGTGAGGGTTCCCGGGTCTGTTTGTACGGCTTTTGGGGGGTTTTATACGAAACAAGTTCAGATAGTTGTTGACGAATGGGATTTTGTGTACTCTTTTAGATAGCTTTTCCTGCAGAAGAGTATGTCGGCTACAAAACGTAGTCTTGCAGTTTACACATTTTGTAGCGTCTGTGGCAAAATAAACTACAAACCAAGAATAAATTAGTAAGTACTAAGGCTAATTTTTTTTCCAAGGAACGCTCGCACGCAGCGGCTGAGCCTTTTGCAAATGTTATCAGGGGCAGGAACGCCAGTGCTTTCCTCCTTTCTTCCCGTAGCAGGGACTCAAACCTTTCTTTTGCTCAGATGTCTAGCTAAAAATTTACCTACGTCAGCGGTTTTGGGTAGCATTTTCAATTTAAGAGGGAAGGAACATGGAGATCGCAGTATGTTAATTCTGTTAACAAAACTGAAATACCAACCGCTTCCTCTTTCTAGATCTTCTTTCCTTCAGGTATCATCCCCAAAGGGTTACGTGGCCGTGCTGCATATCTTTTACATTCTCACACCATTCATTTGATATGCAGGTGTACTATGAAATACAGGGGCTACGGAGAGACATCTACCATTGCTGCGCATGCCTTAAATGATACGTTTGTCCCTTTAGCTCGCCATTTCATTTCCATTCAGTTGAGTTTCATGCAGCATTATAGCACAATTGATAATGTTGCTGCTGAGCAATGCTAAGGACATCGGACTATTAGAGCATGTCCAAAGGAGGGTGACCGAGACGGTCAAAGATCTCGAACGCGAGACGTACGGGGTGCGGCTGAGGTCTCTCGGTTCACTCAGCTTGGACAAGAGAAGGCCAAGGGTGACCTCATCGCAGTCTACAACTTGCTCAGGGGGCAGCTGAGAGGGAGGTGCCGATCTCCTCTCTCCGGCGACCAGCGATAGGACACGAGGGAACGGAACGAAGTTGCATCAGGGGAAGTTCACATTGGACATTAGGAAGAGGTCCACCGAGAGGGCAGTCGGTCACTGGAACGGGGTCCCCAGGGTAGCGGTCAGGGTGCCGAGCCCCGTCAGAGTTCGGGGAGCGTCTGGACGATGCTCTTTGTCACACGGTTTAGTTTTAGGTAGTCCTGCGAGGAGCGGGGAGTTGGACTTAATGATCCTTATCAGTCCCTTCCAACTTCAGGTATTCTATGATTCTAGGAAATCTTCTTGATAAAAATTATCTTATTGTAACAGAGAATTCATGTAACGTGGCTTTGTGCCATGACTGTCTTATTATAATAGCATTTTTTTCTTTTGCACAGATTTGAGAAAAGCTTTTTCCAGATACATGGACAAGAAATCAGTTATACCTCTGCTTCATCCCGTGCGACCAGAGGACATTAATCGTAAGCTGTGATTCTCAGGCAGCTTACTAAGAGTGTTGGGTTCCTTCTGCCTCCACCCCTGAGAAGTTACACATGAGAAATGTTAGGCGGGTTCCTTTTGCCTCCAGCCCCTGAGAAGTTACACATGAGAAATATTAGGCTCAATGTTTTCTCCCATGAAATACCACAAAAGAATATTGAGAAGCTTACTAATGCTGCTTCTGTTGGTAAGGGCTGCAGACTCCTGCACTTACCCTATTATTTTTTTCCTTTCAAATGTTGAAAGTTCAGAGACTATTAAAATGAAATTAGTTCCTATATGGCGTTTTCCTGGCTTTCTTTCAAGCCAAAAATACCCTAAGTCAGTAATAGTAAAAACTCTTCAGCAGCATTTATTCATGACCGATGAAAATATTGTACAATACCCAAGAAACACATCAGGGGAAAGCAATGTATTAATACTTGCATAGAAGATCAACTTGTTATATGCAACGTAGAAACATCTTTCCCCTCTTCACGGCACAGGCATGGGAGCGAACTTAGGGTCGCCGTTGATTTGAAAAAGCCAGACGACCGAAGCAGCCCAGGCTTTCTCTCCACCGTGGACCAGATTTGAGACTGATTCTGTGTTCCGGGTGCCCGTACGTACCTTAACGTGTCGCGTCCACCGAAGTAATCCGCAGTAAGCTTTTCTCATTTTCTCATATTCTTCTCGTTCAATTTCAGCGTCAATGTAGGTTTTCCAAAGAACCTGCAAAAGAGAAGTCTCTCCTTACGTTCACAGCATCTTCAAACAACCCTATATCTAATACTGAGAGAACGCAATTTATTTTTTCTAATTGAGGAGCATGAATAAATGTGGAATTTGCAGAAATTATATACGGAGATCTGAGTATTTATTGACTGTACGAGCTAGGATCGAGACTGAGTAATATTAGCTCTCGTGGCCATAATCCATTTAGCTTACTCCTATAAGCATGTTTCTCCCTCCGCGTTTTATCGTGGGTTTTATATTTCTGCATACCCTGCCATGAAACAGACGCTAACTTAGAGTAGATGCAGGGTTAGGCA